TACACATACGCCATACATGCCCAGGCAAGCACATGCACTTGCACGCGCGCACACACACACACACACACACACACACACACACACACACACACACACACACAGTCTTTGTTTTATAGGTATTTAGCACTTTAATGGTGGAGGGTAAAAGGTAACCACTTCCTGTAACCACTCTGTTCTTTTATTCATCACCAACATATTTTTTTTAAAGTTTTTAAAAGAGCAATCACATGTTTGGAAATCTCTAAAACTAAGTTTCCAATGACAGGGTCTTCCTTACAAATTCCCATGCTCCCTTTGTCTCTTACACCTATTCTATTCTTCCGGGTTTTGTTTTTGTTTTTTCAAGATAGGGTCTCATGTAATCACCATGACTGGATTTCTCTTTTATAACTAAACAAATTATAAAAAATATCTTGAAGGCAAAAACTGAAAATAAACATTTAAAATACAGAATTATATTATGATTACATTATATGTTATATATGATTATATGTTATATATGATTCACATAGAGCCATATCCTGTAGGAAAACCTATTGCATAGAAGGATATTTGATGCATTTTACCATTTCATCTATTGACATTCATATTTCTTTTTCTTGTATGTAACTTCCTTTACTCTGACGATCTTGTTCTATACTACACTGTATTTTTTCTCAAAATTATATATTTATGGTGTAAGGAAAGTACTTTAAAAACATTTCAATTAAATGATACCAAACACTTAAGCATTTATGGAACAATAATATCCAGTAATGCATCATAATTGCTGTAAATTTTCAAGTTTTTATATTTTACATAATTTTTTCAAGTTATTTTTACTTGTACCACCAGCTCTGCAGTAATTTACCTACTTAAAAAAATCAGAATAACTAGGTTTCATCTGAACATTTTGAATAGAGAAAAAACTACTGTAGTCCAGTGTACCTCCCTTATTAATGTATAAAAAAATCTGAGAGATGGGGTCATCTTTCCATGTGGGCTTTGATAATATTGTTTCTGCATTAAGCTATAGCATAACAATGAACAACAATGCTTGTACTCAAAAAGGATTTTTGGTATTAAATATATGGTAGATACTTCAAATAATTATGTAACTTATTTTATGATATTCCTTTATAAAGCATAAACCCCAGAACTTCCCTAATAGACCCTCAAACAAAATTAGGATCTTTTTATAGGTTTTGTCATTCCATCCTACTGAATTCGACATTTCTATGTGAACAGAACATGTCTGCCAAAAACACTCTCAGAGTTCCACTGTTAACAGATACCAGTAAAAATAAAACTTTTGAAAACACATAAAGAAAAGAAACAGCGTGTTCTACAGGCTGGGAGGCTGGGAAGATCTCAACAGGATTTCCATTAGTCTTTGGCCTGGCATCATCGCCCTTCAGTGTCTCAGATCCCAGATGAATAGAGCAGTTCTCATTGCTAGGGCTGATGAAGAACTATTTGTGTAGATTGACTTTGTTTATGACTTCTTTAAAGGAAAATCCCCACAAAAAAAAAAATAATAACTTACCCATTTCTGAACTCTAAAAGAGATTCAAAGGTTTTGCTCCCCCAAAAAACACATTTAATCTGTAAGAATCCTTACAGTTCACATTAACTATCCATTGCTAGAAACTACAATGGGAGAAATTCACATGCAGTATTATTGTGTTGAGAGAGGTTATATGAAGTAAACCAGGAGGTGATCTCATAGCAAAAGCTATGCTTAAACTCTATATAGCAATGATAATCAAAGAAGAAATAATTTTACGATTGAAGCTTGTTAGGGAAAACAGTTTTCTTGGTATCAGAGACTAAGGTTGGTTCATCACATGGCATTAGAGAAAGCTTACGATATAATATGAATTTGATACTGTGGAAATGTTTTCAGCAATTATTTTGTTGACGTTACACAATGGTCTTTCATGTGATTGTGTTAAATTCTGTAACATTAAAATATAAATTAATGGCTCTCAGTGAAATGATAAATGAGAAAGAGATAAAAAGGTCAGGTGTCAGACCCCAGAGAAAAAATGAGGTCTTTATTGTTTATATGTATTGTTTCCCTAGAACAAAAGAATTACCATTTTTCTGCATCAGCTTGAGTTATAAGGGCACTGCCGGAACCACAACATGTGTTCAAGAAGCACCATTTACAAATGCTCAGGGATGAGCAGTCCCATTAGTCCCAAAATACACACACTATTCGTGAACAAAATAATACAAACTCCTGCCTTGATCATTAAAGCGGTTTTACTTTAGGCCTTTGCTTCACATATATGGAGACGTGTGTGAGTATGTATTCTTATTCCAAAGAAGTCCTTTATAAGGAGGATTTGATAGCCTTACTATGTGAGATACTTTGGGAATTCTCATTGTATGAGACCTATACATCCTTAGAAACAGGATCTAAATCAAGTCATATTCCTCTTAATTCAGTCATAGGATGTCAGTATGTGCCATGCATTACTGCAAAACCTATTTATTTTTTCCACTTAATAAATTGTTTTTAATTGCTTCAATTTACAGTAATTACGCTAATACAAAGCAGACCTTAATTCAGTCTCAAAAATGAATTTAAAAACATTTTTCTATTTTTCTCTCTAAGACTGCTTAAATTCCACAATACTTTATTCCTAATATCTGTCTCTCCCAGGTGACTGTTTCCTCCTGGAAGGTACTGTCATTTGAATGCCATGTTCACTTATGTACATACAAGACAATAGCTTTAGATCAATGTCTGACAGAGAAGTACAAGTGAGTTGTGTTAAACTGAGTCTTTCAGGAGACATCACTCCACATAAAGAAATTTGGAACCTCAGAATAAAAGTTTCAAACTTTGCCTATCTTGCTAAAACTTTAAATGAATTATTTATAAGCAGCTAAGATATTATGATCATAAAAGTCCTATTGAATTTATGTGGTCCCACTGGAGCATTTGAAGCAGATTTTCTTATCAAGTAGACTGATAACCAGAGGCAAATCCTGTAAGAAAGGGAGAAACAGATAGAAACACACTGAAAGAGAAAGGTCTGAAGCACATAGCTAAGAAGAAAAGCCAGGCCTGAAAAAAGAAACTCCCATGAGAGAGGATAATTTGAAGATCCAAGAGGACAAGGTACCAAGAGAAGGAGCATGAGATAAGGGCAAAATAGCAAAGACTAGAGTTTGTCTCAATTGCCAGCTTGCCTAAAAATACAAATAGCTATCAGGAAGTCAGTGCCCAGCTATACTTTCTCGGAGGAATTATAGCCAATTGCATGAACCCTTTAAAATATGCTCCCATCTCTCATCATCACCATGTGTAGTAGATGCAATGGCAGTGCCCACTTACCAGTTATCAGTAAATCTCACCCCTGCATCTAATCTTGGCCTGTTTCCTATCCTTGCCTTAAACAACTACCTGGGTGTAAGTACAACCTCTTCATGGCAATCAGGGGGAAATTAGCCCAGATCACCATGAACAAGAAACAAATATCTAAATTCACCACGTTTTGTTCTAATTACTAGGGCAAAACTGATCTTATCTTTCACACACACACACACACACACACACAAAAAAAAAAAAAAACAGTTCTTTGTATTTAAATGATGTAGCCGCCAAAGGTGAAGCCTATTGGCAATAGAGAGCACCTGAGCATGGAACCTAGGAGAAGGGCAGAGCATCTGACATGAAAACCATCTGCCTCCATCCCCAAATGCACAGAAGAGGTGGCCAGGTGGGGCTGCCTCTGTCCAACACACCTTGCCTTGTGTACGTAAAACAGATCCCTGCTTGAGCAGTTCCTGTAACTATCATGAACATGAAGGAAACAGAGATTAATTGTGTAGGGTTAGAAGACCTCTGAGGTAAATAATCCATTTTGTGAATAATTCGAGATTTTTGAATAGTTATAGCGGTTGGAATACAGTATTTATAGCTACCTGCTGAAGTAGATGTCAATTGTATTTAAGTACACATGCATGGATTTAAGTATAATTACTATCAAAATATTTTAAAACTATTTCTATTAATGAAACTATAATAATATTTGCTTAGTGATTAAAATGGCCACATTTTATGTAATTTCACTCTTCAAGATTCACCCATATTGAGGACAAAGTAATAACAGGAGTCCACTCCATAGATTTCTATTATTCTGAATTTAACCCTAGATCAACCACCAGTGGCTACAACTTGAGATTAATATCTACTATTGTTAACGTTTACTATTTTTGTATGCTGACAATATTTGTGTGGGGGGGGTTAATAGAGAGTTGACATTTAACTTTTTTGTTTTGAGAAGCAGAAATTGTTTATTTTCTACTTACTTAAAATTATTCATTTTCAATACTAAAGAACACAACAAATAATTAAACAATAAGGCTTAAAAAAAAGTGTAGAAATCAGTGCTTCCCCCAGAGAAAGAGCATCCCCCTCATACACACCAAAAAAAACTGTATGATCTGAGCCATTTTAGTATGCCCATAATTTCCTGGTCATACATTCTACATACTACAGCCTTCCTCTTTGCCCTATTTTTCTCCTAACTGCTCACCTAATATTCCCAAAGAATCTAGGAAATGTACACTCCAGTACAGTAGCTATCAAATTCAAGTTTATCTCAGAGCACATTACTTCGGGAAGACATAGCATTTATAGCACAGAAACCCTGCCCTTGAGTTCAAAGAAGCAAGCACAATATTTTCCAATTAGAAGAGTGTGTAGCAGCGCTCAGCAACAGAGATTGCACAACGTTTCAGAAGTTTTTCCAGTGCCCTGTCACTCATAGGCTTGAATAGCTAAGATGTTTTTAAAACATATTTTGAGGAGCTGATAAGAGCCTATGAACCGAGCTTGAGAAAATAGAAAATAAAGGGGTATCTTCAGTATGCACAAAGTTAAACTTGAGGCATTCTTCGTTTCTCTGCTGTAGTTTAATGCCACATTCCTCAGGTTGAAGATGAAGGAGGGAAACCACTGTGGCTGACAGCCCCAGAGCCACCTGGGATGCAGCACGACTTACCTAAAGATGGGTCTTTGGAGATGTTTCTTCCTGATTGTGACATACTCATCCATTTAAAGATGAAGTTTTAACTTCTTCCTGGAAAGCAGTCCAGAAAATCCAGGGCGGGAATGTGGAAGCTTATCCCAAGCTATTGTGCTGCAAGGAGCCCAGAAGGAAAAAGTAGTTTCCTCTTTCTCTTTTTGGGTTCTGGGAGAAGACTTCCCTGTTCTCTGCCAGCCGGGCAGTGTGTCCATAGAGGCCACATAAGACAGGCACGTTGGGGCACTCCCCCACAGGGCAGGGTGTGCAAAACCCACCAAGAGTCACGTTGATACAGGCAAGAGAAACACACAGGACCCTCGGAAACAGAACAAAACAAACAGAAACCTTCCTACCCCAAGCGACACCCAGGTAGGAGCTCCCCCTAAGTTATTGCTGCCATGAGAGCTCTCCTTCCACATGCTGGTCAAGCCTGCAAGGCTAAGTCCCTCCCTGTCTTTAAAAGCGCTTGTTCTGAGGCTCAACTTTTTTTCTTCAAAATAAAAGTTGTACAGCTGGCTAAGCAGTCCCAAGTGAATGCCCTCTGCAAGTCAGTCCTGTTAAAATAAGAACTGTATATGAATTACTGAAGAATGATGGGCTGGAGTTGCATAGCTGGCTTTGCATCAAAAAATTATAATTATTTTACAATCTTGCTTTAATTCACACTGGATGAAGTGTTGGGACGAGTCATCATTTTGGGCACGGACAACCTAATAACCTACACTGGGCTGAGGTTGAAGATGCCATTTCAGCTGATAGCAGTCCCTGTGTGTTGGCCAGAGTCCAGAAGTTAGACAAACAAGCTCAAGTCTGTTAGTGAAAATGTACCCAGATGCTTGTCCTCAAATGCAGTTTTCCAACTATGGAACTAACACTGCCAAAATGAAAACAAAACACAAACACATAAATACACACAAATAAACAAATGCTGGATGGATTAAATAAATAAGTAAATAAGCCTAAATAGTCTGGGTGCATGAGATCATATAATAAATAGGTGACTTTTTAGTTATATAACAATAAAAGGGAAGAAAAGTAGTAGAACAGAGAATTTTGAGAAAGCTTGTGACCATGAGAGAGCACAAATCCTAGCTTTTCAAGATAAGTTATTTTGAACACTTTCCTGAATTGTTATTGAAACTCATGACAGATAAGGACAAAGACATTAAATTCCAGGCCAGAGGTTCAGTATGTAATTAAATGAGCCATCTCTGAGCATGATTAAAACATCTTAAAAATCCATGCCATAAAGGGAAAAGTGAAGAATAGACATAACTTTGGTTGAATGATCCATAAAAAGCCTGAACAAAAGTCTCAAAGGTAGGGAGCTGCTTGCTGCCGTGTGTAAACAACAGAGAAATAAGACCACCTTTTCTTTTTGTCACCAGAGAGGAGAGTTATAAGAACCACTGATTTTATCAAGTTCTAAACCATACTAGGAAGTGCAATGAGGCTGAGAAAGCACTGAACCAAAAGTAAAATAAATGTGTACAAGTTCAGCGTCTGTCTTCCAGTGACTATGGGGTGACCTTCTTGCCTGTCTGGACTCGTTTCAATGCTTATAAAATGAAATAATATTAAATGAATTCTGTAGTCCCCTTTGAGATTTTGTGCTTAATTTTCTTCTTGCAAATAAACTGTCATAGAAACTATGATACCTACATAAATTCTACATAAAGAGATGATTTTATATTTCATAGCAAATTAATATACATATTTTATAGAGAGAGCTAAATAAATGCTTGTATCATTAGCAACAACATGCAATAATGAACTCACATGACTTCTTACATAACAATAAGCTAGGTATGGAGCATGCAAACCCAAACTACAGGGAGACCTTTCAATACATACTCTATTATAACCACATGTGTTGTCTTTGTAATATAGGAAAGTATATAAATAATTACACATTTTATAGTTTTTGCTGGAGGGAACTTTTGCATTTGTAGTGGCATTCTGTCTCTATAGATTTACATCTATTACTATTAGTGTGATGTAAATTTTCCACCAAAGAAATAATACGAGAAAATAAACCACAAATTTCAAAACTTAATTCCATCTACCTTTCCACTTTTAAATGTAATATGAGTCTTGTGAGATGGTTCAGCTGTTCAGAGCACTTACTGCTCTGCTAGATGACCTGAGTTTGTTTACCAGTACCCACAACCACTTGAACTCCAGTTTCTGGGAACCTAGTGCCCTAGTGCCTCCACAGGCACCTACACATAGGTGCACAGATATTTATGCACCCATGCATACCTGCATGCCTCCAACAACATACAAATAGAAAATAAACCTTTTAAAATAATGTGAAATGATTTATTCTCATGACCATAAAAATACTCAGCACAATGCCAATTAGCATTTAGCCAAGTTCCTGCTAAAACCAACTTAGTGTTTATTTCAAACTCAAGACTCCATTAACAACTGAAGACTTAAAGTTGTTTAAACAGATCATAGGAAAACAATTAAAACTTTTCTTTTGTTCAATTATTTTTTCCATTTCAGTTATTAAGGTAGACAGGACAGACTCACATTTATGTTAAGCACAATATTTAAACCCAATCTTCACCCTCCAAAAGTACTGAGAATATGCCCATAAGCTGAGAATTATCTTAAAACAAAGAAAAAAATGTAATTATTTCATATTCATAGCTTTAGTGTGTGTGTGTGTGTGTGTGTGTGTGTGTGTGTGTGTTTGTACAAATTCATGGCCAAGAATATGTACGGAAGTCAAAGAATAATTTGCAGTAACTGATTCCTTCCTCCCACCAACGTGTGTCCCAGGGATTGAACTCAGGTCCTCAGGCTAGGTAGCAAGTATCTCTACCAGCTGAATCATCTCATTGGTCCCCAAAATGTTTTGTTGTTGTTGTTGTTTGCTTGTTTTGTTGTTTACAAATGTTTTAATTTACTTCTTTTTTCAAAGAGTATTTAAATTTGATTTTTCTAACATTGCCTTTTCTAATAATCAAATTTAATGTATCGTTCAATGAAATGAAAAGCTATCACATTTGCTTAAACTACAAAAATACATTGATGGGAGATGCATATATATATATATATATATATATATATATATATATATATGTTTCTCATACTGGTTAATGAATAAAGCACTGTTGGCCAATAGGAAATGAAGATAGGAAGAACTACGAGACAAGGAGGAAATAGGAAGTAGTAAGTACGGAATCAAGATGGAGAATCTGGAGAGAATAGAACCGCCAGCCGCCTCTCGCTGGTAAGACCACGTGGAAATACATAGAAATGGGTTAATAATTAAGACAGAGCTAGCCGATAAGAAACAAGTACCTGGCCAACAGAATTATATCAAATACAGAGTCTCAATGTGTTATTTGGGGTTGGTGCGGTGGCGGGACAAGACCAGGCAGCAGGCGGAAAAACCCTACACCTTACAATACTTCACTTTATAAACACAACCATCTATACAAAATACTAAAAGTCATGACATAATAACCAGGCCAAAAAAAAATCTTTCATAGGATAAACTAAATACAATTTATTAAAACTTTTATTAGGATTGAAGTCATAAATGGAATTTGTTTTTCCTAATGTGGTAAACTAAATGCAACCTCTTTTGCCAAAATTTTTAAGGACCCACTCTCACATAAACACCACATAGCTTTACACATGCCTTAGGATAAACTGGCAAGTTACTTAAATGCAATGCTCACCTAAGAGAAAAATCTACAGTCACTTTTACCTTCTCTTAATCATAACTAAGTTGTATATACCTCCAAAACACTCTATATGAAATCCCCTTTGCTTTAGAATTTTACTTTCAACCAAACATGTTCAAGGTCCAAATACTCTGGCTACTTGTACAAACACCTCACATTGGAGTTCTTCATTCAAAATTTCATCAGTTAAGAACATATATACCTTTCTCCATCATTTGCAGTAGAAGAAATCTATTATTAAACAAACAAAGAAGCAAATATACTTTAGGATTTTCAAGTCTCCATGCCTTGGTCATGAATATTACACAGAAAATTCAGAACTTAGGGAGCCTTTCCTTGTTTGAACAAGGCCAAGATTGTATGAGTGCTAATTTTCAAGAGATTTAAAACCTCCATTTGGAATCCAAGTGAGCTGCTTATTTGCCTTGCATTGCCTTTGCTAATATCAATCCCACCCTCTGCATGAGGCAAATACTTTGCCTGACAGAGAAAAGGTCACACTCATAGAAATGAAAGAGGGGAAAGCACATTGCCCCATTATATTATGAAGCTTTCTTATTCATCCTAGTGGGTGCATGGTGATTACCTCATACCATGACATTAACATTACCCAATCAGGCTCCCACCTCCCTACATCCTGTCTCCAAACAGATCTTTTTATCCATTCTCTTTCTGTTTCAAGGCAATGTTTTTCTTGAGCATCCCACATCTTTTCTGCCTCCTTCATCCACTTTAGTCCTTTGTCTAAAAGGTTTTTATCCTTCTCATTGCTCTTATTTTAGCTGCCTTGACACCTGTACAGGCAGGTGTCTCTCACAACAGACCATTCAAATTTCATATACCTGTAGTATGTTTTTCTTTCCTTATAACATCACAATCTGTGTCTATAATAATCTATGTAATTATGCATGCATGAACTTCCCCATCAAGGCTCTAAGATGCTAAGATGCAGTGAAGAAGGAAGGGAGCAGAATATCTAATCCTCCTAGCTATATCAGAATAAAATCTAGTCAAATTATACAAAATAACATTTATATCATATGTGCAACTGTATGCCCCTAAAAACAGACTTGTATCAATTTCTTGTAATGCTTCAAGACATTTTCTAATGGGCAATGTGTTTCAATTTGTCATCATACCTCTTTAAATCAGAAGTGTTTGTACATGAGTACAAGGACAATGGTATCTTGGTCCAGTCTGTACTACTAGAACAGAAAGCCTGAGACTAAGTAAGGTGGAAAGATCAGAAATGAATGTTCTCACAGTCCTACAAGGTAAGAAATATAAGGTCAAGTTGCCTCCACATGGTGATGGGAGAGACTGCTACAGTCTTGGGTGAGTTAAACACCCAAGTTAACTTGGGTAAGTAAACCAAGCACTGCCCCAATGCTTCCTTTAAAGGAGCCTTAATTACATTAAGAAGGAAGAGCTAACCACCTCTTAAAGACCTCTTACAGACTATGCTGGATACACTTAAGTTTCAGAGAAAGCACATTCAAGGTATGAAGATATTAAAACTGACAATGCATTTAAGAATGACTTTGCTAGTGATTCTCAATTTTACTGAAAATATTGTTTACTTTGGGAGGGGCAAATTTTATCTGAAAAACAATTTTTTTTAATATAGCTCTAAGTGTCTTTTATTTATTTATTTATTTTTCTTATTTTACATATCAATCCCAGTTCCCTTTCCCTCCCTCTTTCTCTCCCCTCCCCCCATGCCTCCTGAATACACTTCCATCCCACCCACCCCTACTCCACAGGGAGGGTGAGGACTTCCAGAAGGG